CGACGGGCGGCTGCTAAACCGGAGCCCTGGAGCCTCCACCCTGCAGGAAGGGTCGCTCTTCCCGAATTCACTTCATTTCGGTCCACACGAAGCATTTAAATGGAAATAACGGGCAGAGGGAAGGCCACGCGCGGCCAGCAAACCGCCAGGCTTCCCAAGCACAAGTTTTCATTACACCAAGGTTTTGCTTTACAAAATAAAAAAAAAAAACACAAACCAACCCAGTAACAAACTTTTGGTGGGAAAAAAATATATTAACGAGTCGCACGAGCTTAGGACTGTGGGCAACACGGATGGGGGGGCAGGTCCCACCTGAAAACGGGCTGTCACCCCCTGCCATCCCCCACCGAGGGACCCCCCCTCGCCCGGGGAGACCCTGGTGCTTCCCTTGTCCCCACCCAGACTGCGAGGGACACTGGTTCGCATCCCCCGCCACTGTCCCCCCCCAAATGCTGCCTGTGGCACAGTTAAGGCAGGATTAGGTCCCTGTACCCCCCGACGCCGTGGCACGGTTCTGCTCCACGATGGCTTCCTGCTGTTGTGCCCAGTGACAGCGCAGCAGCTGGCCCAGGGGACACTTTGCCTGGGGATGCCACAAACAGGGATGCCACAACTGGGGACACCACAACCGGGGACACCGCAACCAGACTAAGCAATGTCCCTGCTGTCCCCAGCTTCCCTGGCTCAATGTCCCCCCCTGCTCCAAGCAGCACCAGAACTCCCCAGCCTTGGGGACACATGGTGACATGGCTGCCCCAGCGAGGTGCCACCACAGCCTGGTGACCTGCTGGCTGCTCCAGTAGCTCCTTGCAGGTCCCAGCTCCCATCCCAGCAGGGTATCTCCATCTCGCTGGGCTTTTCCCCAGCCACCCCACCTCCGCGGCAGCCTCTGCCCCGTTTGCCCCAGTAGATCCTCCGCCGTTCCAGCCTGCACGCCCTGCCCGCAGCCTGGGGACAGACAGCTCAGCCTCCGAACCCCACGGCCACGGGCGGAGACAGCAGCCCAGGCACCACGCGATGGGCACATCAACAGAGCTGCGCCAGCACCGCGGCAGCCCAGGAGGGCACCCCTCGTCCCTAGGGGAGCTCCCGGGATGGACAACCCCAGCTGGATGCCGCTGAGCAAAGTTTTGGGGGCCACCACTGCCATGGCGAGCATCCAGCCTGGTCCTGCCCGCAGGGTGGCAATGCTTGGCTGCCACGGGGTGCTGGCCATGGAGTTCAGGATGAGACCTCAGGGTGCTGGGGACTCACGCGGTGCTGCGATCGGGCGAGGGAATGAGGGTGCTGGGGATGCGGTTCCCCCGACGCGGCCCTGGGGATAAACCGCGGGGCAGGGAGGCAGCCGGGACGTAAGCACAGGGATGGCAAAGGGGGACGGAGCCCAGCGAGAGGAGGCAGGTCCCCGGGGCCGGGGGGTGCGAGGGCTGGGAGCAGCGGGTGCAGGTGCTGGGGAACTGATCCGGCCCTAAGCCGCTCCTTGATCATTTTACCGATGTGTCAAACGCCGTAACGCCTGCCATGGCAGGGCCTGGCTTTGCTGACCCCGCCGGGCCCTTTCATCCCTCTGCCCTCTCTTCTCACACCGGGTTCTCCGATTTACTCATGATCCTAATAGGATTGGAGAGGCCGGGCCAGCTGCCGAGCTCGCCGGCCTCCCTCC